AAGGAAGAAAGAATGATGACACTAATACTTGTCATTTGTGTGGAGATGTAGCAACACAAAATCCTCTCTCAAACATATGTTATCTTGGAGGAATCTTTCCAAGGGATAGGCTTTCTGAGAAACATTTATGACTTTTGAATACACGATGGGTGTGAACTTGACACGACCTACTTTGGCCAAGCCCTGGGCTTCAGCCTGGTCCTACTGCCACAAATCAGTCTATTTGAAGTGCAGTCAGACTGATATCTTCACTGAGATGACAAGGTTACAGCATGTACCAGCTAGAGAAAAAGATGGAGAGCACTTCGTTCTCAGGATTTAAAAATTCTGAAATATTTTTACTAAAGCCAGAGGAAAATTACTATGTTCTACCCATACGCAAAAGCCAGTACAATGCCTGGAATGATTAAAATATTCAATACACTGTTGAAATTAGGGCATCGACATCCTTGTGTTATACTCAAATCCCTCCTTTATCTTGGCTTTGGAAAATGCAAGGAAAAGCAGAGGATATAAAGGCTTTCTACTAAATATCCTAGACACAAGAATTGGGTTTTCCTCCTGACTTTCCACAGCACCATTCTGCAGGGTTTTGTATCACCGCATCTCAGCCTTCACACCATCCTCTCAGCTTGATCTTGTACCAATGGAATGCCAATTTGTCAAATTACACTGACTTTTGAGTTTGTTCTTATTTAATTAAATACTATGATGTTGCAGAAATTGGATAAAAGGTGGAACATGGTTCCAAGGACTGAGACACCTGTCAAGGGATACCTGTCTCTAAAGGCCCTCTGCTCAGCACAGCACTGAACAGCACTATGTTATGGATAAAGCTGTAGTCACTGAATTAACTGAAAAATAACCAAAGTGTCCACAGTATATACAGTCCACAAGGGTATTCACTGCTGAGAAGAGCAGAATCCCAAGTGGTCAGGAAGGAGATACACTCTGGAACCTCTCTCAGGACCACTTTCCTTTCTTCCTGGGATAGTCCATGTGTAAGGAACCACTGACCTGGCTGCTCTCATCGCCCAACTGCAGCAAAGCCACTAACGGATATCCAGCAAGGCAGCTACAGATGCAGGCATACTGTGGTGACACATACGGCTTTTGTCCTACTCTAGGTCACTCTAGATCATCAGAATGGCCTTCTGCTCTGTGACAGGCCTCTCTGATTGCAAGTCTCCTGCTAGTCATAATTAAGAAAATTCTATTACAGAGTTCAGATACAATTACAGTTGTAGTACAAACCAATTCAAAATTAATCTATATATAATGGTAAAATTTCTCCTACATGATTGAATAATTACTGCAATACAACTCCAGTAGGGCAAAGATCAGGAATATTTCATGTGAATATCATTCAAAAACTGGCATTTAAAAATTGTGTGCTCATTCAGACAACACACATCACAGAAACAGATCAACTGCAAAAAGCGAATGTAGAGGAACTGAGCTGAGAATCATTAAAAACATATTTTTAAAATGAAGAACAACCACATTATTACATATAATCATTTTCCTTTCACACTAATTTGTTTTAATCTATTCATGCTCCTTATAAAACATTACACAAAATTTTAATCATAGCATTGTTTTCTTAAATATGTGCATTTCAGTAAATGACACTTGCATGTATAAATTTTGTGAATTAAAATGTTAGACTGACACTAGAACTGAGGACTCATTTATTCAGAAAAAAATTGCCTTGTTTTCCTGTCTGTAAATTTTCTATGGAAAGCTATTATTTTTTTTTCAGTGTATTCATTATTCAACGTATTAGTTGAATAGTCCTACAGAGACTTCTCTGCTTTTGAATCATTCACAGCCTGTTAGTTCCAATTATTTCTCATTTGAAATTTGAACCCCAGCCCTTCCTTTTTATTGGACATAGAGCTTACATGAACTGATGCTGTTCTCCAGCTGAAAAAATGTGACCAGGATGCAGATGGAATAAGTTTTGTACACAGTGTCAGCAGTTCATGTCTGTGCTTCAACAGGAGTCAATTCCTTAGCTATAATACAAGATCAATGTGAGCGCAAGCTGAAAGTAATCTTAGAATAACTCTGAAGAAGTACATCCATCTTATAAAGACCATTATTCCACAACTTTTTATATCCATGTAGCACACACTACCTTCTTTTGCCAAGCCTATGCAGTTATGTTCCCATCTAGAAAGACAACTTTTTTTTTTTTTTTTTTTTTTTAAAAAAAAAGTCTCTCTGAAGGAGCACTTTTCCTAAGGTGTGCTACACATCAGAGTTACCTGCCCAGCTGTTAGAGGGATGGAGTTATGGACCTGGAAAGCACAGCTCCCAGAAGGGCTGTGCGAGTGAGTTGCTGCCTGTCCTTCCCCATCTTAACAGCGGCCCAAATGCCACAACATTAGCAAGACTTTTGGGCAGTGCCCTGTAATTCTCCACTCCCGTGAGGCTTAGGAAGGCAAGGCTGACAGCAGCCTTCAGTCCTCTGAGGCTAGGTACTACGAAAATTAAAGTAGTTATGCAGTGGAGAGGGAGAGAGGAAGGGATAACAGGCAGTACTAAATAAGGAAAAGAAACCAAAACAGTTGAAAGCAACTTTATAGGGAGTGAGAAGTGCCCTAGAGTGGTCATTAGCCACACTGCAAGGAATGAGATACATCAAATAAGGGGAACATTTGCTGCAGATATTATGAGGTGGGAAGGATTGGAGGAGGCTGTTATTCTTGAAAGTATTTAATGAGCTGGCAGATGGCCCTGTGGTCAGGACACAGGAAATGCAAGTCCCATTTCTGCTACAGACCTCCTGCATGGGATTGGAGCAGTCACACTGGTCTCTGAGACCTGGTGCAGTGGGCACTGGGGTGGCCAGTGTCAAAGAACCTATCAAAACTGAAGGGAGATGTCCATTCCAGTGTGGGAGTTTTTCCATGCCTCCTCTTGCATAAAGCCATCCAAAATGGGCAAGAACATCTGCTTTTGTTTTCACAGTAAAAGCAGACACTGGAGGAGATATGCACATTTGGGAGGGGAGCACATTCCACAGTGGAGCTCTTTGTAATACGAACAATACAAGACCATCCTGGGAACACCATTATTTGGTGAAAACAAGAGGACAAGGCTGCTTGTGAAGGTGGCAGAAGAAGATGTACTGAAATCACAGAGGGTCCCTCTTGGCAGCTGGGTGGCAAGGCAAATCACCCAAAAAAGGGTGGCGTCTAGTCAACATTCAGTGGCCTAACACAACACTGCTTCCCTCCTTTGTATCTGTGGACATTTCAGGGACTTTTAGTTGCTCCATTTCTCCTTCAGCAAAACAATGGATTAATATAAAGGTGTAACGAACTCCCAAAGCAGGCTAGTCTTCAGACACTCTCTCTGTCTTCATGCAAAGACAAATATTTTTAAACAAAGTCACACCAAAATGTGAACTTAGGGCTAGTGAAAGCACCTTGATAGGAAACTAGGAAAACATTTCACCACAGTTAGTGATTGGAAAGAAATAGTCAATTAAGGTTTTTGAACGTGAATACAACATATTTGCAAATGATAGACATGTTCTGCAGAAAGAGGGAGGATTTCAGGTTTGCTGTCCTGGACTGTTCTTCCCCAAACCAACCCTCTAAGCATTTATGCAAAAGACATTCAGTAGGCAGTGCCAGAGCAAGACTCTGACTGGTTGACTACAACTTCACTCACATCCTAGACAGATGCTTCCATTCTAAAGTTGCATGAGTCGACAGATACTTCCTAATAGCTCTGTAATGCAGGTGCTTGACTAATTTGTAGAACATAATAAAAAAATACATTTTTAATATTTTCTTAAAACACAACTCTGTTAAAAACAGAATTTCTATTCCTCTCTTTAAAAATCCTCCAAACTGTTCAAATCTATGGCTAACAAGGAACCACTATTTCAAAAGATATTTACAGAGTAATTCCAGAGATAAACTGATGCCTAAATAGTGTTTTTCCTTACAATTGAAGTACTTACTTCAATGAAATGGAATAGTTTTGGGAAAGAGCAGAGAGCAGAGAAGAGAGGAATACAAATGAAACAACCCATTTAAAAAAATATATATTAATGCTCATATGAATGGCAGCTGGAATCACTACAACTTACTTATGTAGGTTTTTTTCTACCATGGACATTTGTCATTAGGACAAGTAGGGCTGGTAACTACCATTGCAAAGAACCAAAATATTCCTTATGGAGTTTCCCCTGTTGAAGCTGACAATTAAGAGCTAACCAGTAAATAAGATTTTGCATGACCAATTCTATTTAGCTTAGCCCAGTTTATTGAGCAAATTATAAAAGACAAATCAGGTAAAGTATATATAAGGAGGTCCTAGTTAAGATGTTGAAGTCCTTTAACATGATTAAAGGAGTGTAACTTGTTTCTATACCCACCAAGTACCTATATTCACATAAAACATTTTCTGAAGCATTACCTCTTTCCATTTGAAAGCAGAACTCTTGTGCTGGCATATTGAGGACTGAGCTGTTTAACTGCAGAAATAATAGTGTCTGGAGTTCCAGAGAGTAATATGAACTTTCTCACTTCCTATGAAAAAAATCCTTAAAAATATAATAATGAAGTTTTAAACAACTGTTTGACATACCTAGAAAGAAGGATTGAGTAGTCAGGTCAAAATAAGCCTGCTGAGGCCCTGAGCCTAGTAGTTTGCAAAAGCTTTCATTTCCAGTTTGCCATAGTACTATAAAACTTTATTTTAGAAGCACAGGCTTTGAAATCATTGTCTGAAGCACAACATGGGACTATGTGAACCACTGAACTGTCATTGTTTAGATTGCAACAGTATTCCCAAATCCAGTTGTGGTGTCTGTTGCGATAAGCATATAAACACAGAAGGAAAAGACAGTATGTGCCCCAAAAAGCTTACCACTGTAACTGGGCAAGCTTTGTGAGGGGGTAAGGGAAGGTGAGAGGAAGAAAGAGCGACCTTAGAAATGTCTCTGTCTGGTGGTGAATGTGTGCCCTCCCCCTTTCAGGATGGCCTGGGACTCCCTGTGCAGCAGGGACTTACTGCGCCCCAAGATAAGATGCGCCTCAAGCCGGACGCCTGGCAGCCAGAGCAGTGCCGGAACGCCGTCCCTGGAGGAGCTGCGGCGCCTGCTCTGGACACGCACATACCCCATGGGACACGTGGATGAAGTCTGGCCAAACCTTTATGTGGGAGACCTGTAAGAGAGAGGGAAGGGTTGAAGGTGTTAACGCAACTCTTGACCCCCCACTCTATTTCCCTCAAAATCTTCCACTCTTTATTTAAGAAAGAGAGCTAGGCACTGATCTGGGGACGCCTCACAGTAAGTCCAAGTGTTGACCAAGGCTGAACTGTGTATAGGATGCTGTAGCACAGAGAAAAGGCATCCTAAGTATGCAAAAAGAATATTTCCCCTCTTGATTTCTCCTCCTGCATTAGTACAGGAGTGCCACACTGCAGGAGCCTGGTGGGGCCACAGCATTGGTACTGCAGGCAGTCATGCCAGAGTGAGGTAAACAGGATCAACCTCGTTTTCTCCTCACTTTGCCAGATGGCATCAGTCCCCTGAACTGACGGGTGCTCAGCAGAGGTGACTTGGTGAGAAAGCAAACCAGAAAACTCTTGGCTTGTGCAGAAATATCACCACCGCCACCTTTTTATTTTTTGTCAGTTGAGAAGGACAACCCAAACTGATGTTTGGGAGGAAAATGCAGGAAATGTAAGAGTCAGTTTCTTAACAAGTCACTTCTGTCTTGAAGCATTTTGGTGGACACTTTGGACTTGAGCAACCTGTCAGAAAGTAGCCACTACAACTTCATGCAGATTTAACAAATTCCACCATCAGCAGCATGTTCTACCCTGCATTATACTGCAGCAGGAGACTATAACCCAGCATCCTTCTTCCAGGTATGTTGCACGTGACAAAGCACAGCTGAGCCAAATGGGCATCTCCCATGTTGTGAATGCCGCTGCCGGGCGATTTCACATTGACACCGGACCCAAGTTCTACAAAGACTTGCCTGTGGATTACTATGGAGTAGAAGCTGAGGACAACCCAAACTTTGATCTCAGCGTTTACTTCTACCCAGTTGCTCGATACATAAGAGCAGCACTGAATTCCCCAAGAGGTAACTAGACCACCTGTGCACGTTGCCTATCTTCTGCATAGGAGACAAGTAGGGCAAGTTATCAAATAGCATTTGGCATAAACCAACCACCTGCAGATGTGGGTAAGAATGGAGTTACCCAAACCACGTAGCATCACACCAAACTCCTGAACTCCCACAGTGAGTGGGATTTCCTCTGTTCCCCTGAAACAGGGAAGGCTGTACTGAACATGCTTTCAAAGGGATTTTCTCTATGTCCACTTCTATTCACTAGCAAAAGACACAATAGCAAGTTTCCTTTATTAGCCATAGGGACACACTGACCTGGGAGGAGGCATTTACACTTGATCTTCTCAAACGAGTGACAGGGTTTAAAATAAAAGCTGGGATGGGTAAAAAGACAAGGGCAAGCATCATATTTGTGTGAGAGGAAACAATTATAATGCTACAATCTGTACAAGTCCTGCAAATACAGGGTAGGGAAGAACTTACTGGAACACAATTCTATAGAAGAGAACCTAAGCAACACTATCAGCCAGGAGATAATGTCGTGCTGTCTCTAGAAGGAGTATAACCTTGAAATAGGAAGATAACCTGCAAAATCCTTGGACTCACTAAACACAGGCCAGGTGCCAGAGACCTGGGGCTAGTGGGGGATCATTACTGTTAAGGACAAACCCTCACAAAACCAAGTCTCAACTATGCCACAAAATTGTACAGGTACCCACTCAAAAGTAAGTGATTTATTAAGAGAATAGTTATACACTCAGCAAACTGTTTCGCTTGCATTGTAGTGAGCCTTAATTTCAATGAAGGTCCTAAAATACTAACTACCCAGCTTAATCATATGCAGCTACTAGATCTGATCTACACCATACAAGGTAGGAAAGGGAGACACAGTAATTGAAAATAGCGGACCTCCGTGCTAGATACGTCAGCATTTACTGCTGTTTGGAGGGCTTGATTCATCCCATTAGAAAGTATTTTCCTTTGTGCAACTGAGGGCTGCATTTGGATTTCAAAACCACTAGCATATTTGGGGAAATGGGATCTGCACCCATTTCTATTACAGCATATGCTATTTGCGATTGATGTCATTATTGGTGGTGTTCCAGAGAAAGGTAAGATCCAAAAACTTTTCATGCGTGTGTAAAAAAAAAAAAAAAGTTCCAAATCAATTGACAAGAGACAGAAAACAACAGATGAATCCTGGTGGCCACAAAAGCAAACAAAACCAGTGCTTTGCAAGATGCGTGCCCAAATACTGAAAGTTATGAATGCAGAACAAGTTAGGGCTCAAGGCAAACACAATGAACTCATCATGTTGAGCATGCATATTTATCCCTACTCCCATGCTTTTAGATATTGCTTTACTGAACTCCATATGGAAGCAGGGTTCTGGGAATGGACACAAGGTGAAATTCAATCATATACACTCCAGCTGTTGCTGACATTCATCATTTTAAGGAAAGTGCAACAGTTTAGAAAATATATAAACAAGATGTTCTGGAAGCATAATTTCCCGAGGTACAGAAATTTAGCAGCTAAATACCCATGACCTGTGCAGGGATGAGACAGGGAGAGTACTGTTACTCACATCATTTAGAAGAAGAGAAAAAATGGCATTTATTATAAGCAGTGATGCTGAACAAAAAATTGTACCTGGTGACAAGAGGCCTGTTCATATTAAATTCAGGATGTAACAAGGTACTTCTGTTTGACTGAGAAGTAATTTAAGACTGCTGCTTAACTATTACAAGCAAATTCAACATCTTTTTAAAAATGGAATTAAATTATCTTTTTCACCTGGGAGAATAATTCAAAGTTAAAACTATATCAGGCACAAACATATTTAAAACTGTGACTTAAATACTCATTAAAGTAAGAACTGTTACTCCCATCATGCTTGAGGAAATATTCTGATGCTTTACACCTGAAGTCCAGAAAACAGAATGGACAGATTTATTCCAGATTTCTACCTTAGCTGAACAGAGTATGTCTTTGGTGATGTAAGGAATTTATTTTTAAGGCAATTTCTTCAAACTCGGATGCCAGAGCATGAGCAAAAGGAAGCAGCGGAGCGTTCCTGTCACAATGGTCAGTCAGTGGCTGCATCACAACTCAAATTACTTCCTTCATCATCTTTGTTGTACAGATTAAGAAATGCATGCACTACTATTTCAGCCATGCCACATAAGTATTATCTTGTGAACCCTGCTTTCTTGGCTGCCTTTCCTTCTGCACAGCCCTGCTGTTTCTTTACCCACGTAACAGAGCTGTTTGGGAAGGCTCAGCCAAGAGCAAGCAGATACACAATCTGCCTTCTTCTCTGCATTGAAAAACATGGTGTCAGGGAGGTAACTGACTTTCTCCCTCATGCTTTTGCTCAGGGGGCAACACCTTGAATACCAATCTTGCCCCTTTGCATGGACATCTGTACAATTTTAATTTTTCTTGAGTGCAGCTAAACCTAAATGTAAATCAGCAGGGTTTGGTAAAGTCTAGCAGAAGAAGGAGGGAAATAACTTGAGAGCACAGATGAAAGCATACCACAAAAACTATTAAACTAATGCTGTGCAGAGAGGAAGATTCCCAAGTAGAGGACTTTTCCTTTTATTGATCTCCGAACATGTTTAAAGCAGGCAGGTTAAACTCACCCTTAACTTCCTGAAAAGGAAAAACCTCTCAAAGGCGTTTCCCTTCTTCTACTTCAGTGGAACAAATGAAAAGCCAGGCTCCCTCTCCTGTCTTAGTCTTGGTGGTGGTTATGAAAGAAGCTTAACTAAGGAGAAAACAGTCCTCTCTCTTGACTCTGCTATATGTGCATTACATACATCAGTTTGACTCCCCACTCTCCAGCAGATGACAGCCCTTACCTGTTCCAGGACGTGTGCAAAGAAGGGACACACCATCATTTAAAGCTCTCCCTAGGCTTCTTGCTATTTTGAGCTGTGACAAAATAGACACTTGATTAATCAAGAAATTGACAACTGATTCTGCACCTGGCTACAGGATGGTGGCTAAAATGTAACAGGAGATAAGAAAACTGCTGTGGAGTGAGAAGAGCCCCTGGAGCCCACTAGCCTAGCTGAGCTCTCCTCCAGGTGAGCAGCATAATTCTGCTGGATTCAATGGAGCAAGGGCAGCTGGGGTGTTCACTCTGGGTGACGGATCCAGAACCTGGTTTTAAGCCAAATTGAATCCATCCTGCAAGAAAGCAAGGGCTAGTTCAGGACATTTAGCTCAGTTAATGGTGAGTAGCAAAAGGACAATAAGATATTATGTGTTTTAATGACTGATTTGTTCAACAACATTGAATTTCCCAACTTGAACTTGGCCAACAAAGTTGAATGTGCAAACTTTATCCCTAGTGCAAACCCTTTGATGTCAGTAGAGTTAGAGCAGGCATGAGCTGGATATAATATCCATAATCCGTTGTTAAAAACCAAGTGTTATTGTTCTGCACAAATCCCAGCCGGATGACAGTTATTGTCTGCCTCTGCAAAAAGTAGCTTGAGATGTGCGGTGCAACATTTCAAATAAGGATTGCAAGATTTAATAATGCCAAAAGCTAAGTGCCCCCACTTCTCCTCAGTTAATCTCATTATTCCTACGGGATCCTGTTACACGCTCAAAGAGAAGGTTGAAACATGGCCCTCTTATGTGGGATCAGTCCAACTTCTCTTTGCACTGTATGTTAAAATAAATGGGGGCAGGGAAGGCAGAGTGGGAGGATGTCTGCTTCTGGCTTGGATTCTGTGGTACAGAAGATCTGGTTATAACCTCCTTGCCCACCCCATGAGAGGGGCCTGCACCACAACTGCCTCTGTGAACGCTGCTTTCCCAGGCTGTGGTCCAGCAGCCACCCGTGAATCCAAGCCTTGGTGCTGGGACAGTGCCTCTCGGCTGCCTCCCATGAAGGGCTGATGCAATACGCTGTTATCAAGACCACTGCAGTCAGCCCACATGGAGCAGACATGCTTCGGGCGCTAGTCAAATGCAGTATATCATGGTGGGTTCCAAGTGTCACTTAACCCATTTACAGCTACTGCTAAGAGGCAAGGGTCTGAGCCTGTAAACAGAACCCAATAGCACCATAGCTTTTGTTTCCTGACTCAAGTTTAACATTCAATTTGTTTGCTACAAATAATCACACGGTAAATTCAAATCTGCTTTCATTAGAACAATTTTAAGTTAATTAAATCATTTCACATGACTGATTTATCTGCAACAAACAGTCATTTTATTGTCAGTGTACCAGCATTTATCATAACCTCTGTGCATGGTGAAACAAAGGCTAACAATGTGGAATAGATATTGCACATTTAAAAGAGATAATATACCTGCATCCTCATGGGAACAAGTGTATTAGAGAGCCATGCAGATTAGGTCCAAGGACAGTAGCTGGGGCTTGGACAGGTTTTTGCTCAGACACCTTCAAAAGCTAGCTGCCTATCTAGGAGGACTCTTTTGAAGTGCAGATAAGCCAGAGAAAAAGGGAAGAAAATTCAGTGTGTTATTACTCGCCACCTCCTCCTCTCAGACACAGAGTTAAATATAACAAATTTAGACTGAGTTTCAAAATTTTTAGTGATTGAAAAATCAAATCCAACAGCAGGGTAATATATTTTTGGTTGGTTTATGTCTGTTTTTTCCCCATCCTGGTGCAGTTCAAACCATAAAAATAATTTCTTTTTCTTTCATTTGTAAAGTGCTGGTAGCTTAGAATTTTTCAGAAAAAAAAAGAAAAAAAAAAGAATGCGGTTCTGGTTCCAAGAAAATTTTTCAGAACATGTTGTTCCTTGGCTTCTGTTATCTGGGGGTGTATGTTAGGGTGAGTGTCAGGACTTCCTCAGTCACTGCCACTACGTTGCAGTTAGGCCTACTGCAAACTACTGAAGCATGGCTTTTCCAAAGACCTTTTGGACTTGGCCCTATTCACAGTACTTCTCAAAGAGAATTGTGCTCTTGACTCTTTCACATTCCTCTGAAAAATCTCAGACCTGGGTTATTTGGGTCTGAAATGCTTTCTCTGGGAAAGATAATACAGCTTACACATCCCACAAGGATGGTGTGAAGGCTAATGATAGTGCAGGGGACATTGGGGGGAAAAAAGAAAAAAAAAAAAGGCCTAGTTAAAATTCAAGTTAGCATTATCTTTTAGCAGGAGTGCAAAGCATTTCTCAATATTCCTATAAAAAGTGTGACTTCATGTCCAAGAATGCCCATGGAGTTAATGGAATTGGCAGATAGACCGAATTTATCTTGAACAATGGCATCAGTGTCTCAGTAAATTCTGTAAAGCTGTGTCTGAATGGGAAAACACAAATAGAAATCACTTGATCTCCTAATTCTGCAAAACTGACATTATGTTGGGAAAACCTCTTCCTTCCCCCAAAGGTTTCGCTACCCAGTCCAAGTCTGCTGTCACCAGAGCGGTTTTCACCACTTCCTTGGAGACTATATTTGGCCCTTTATTTCTACTGAAGACATGCCTATCTTTAGGGCTGAGCTCAGATTTCTCATGCCAGGATAATGAAAGGTGGCTGTGTCACATACGCTGTGGAATTCAACACTTCTCTCAACCTGCTGGCCAGAGCAGGTTTTCATAGTGCACGCTCGCCCTCTCCGAGCACGTGGCTATGCCATCATCATCAGTCAGAACTGGAATGGCTGCTAAATAAATACTCTATCACAAACAAAATGGGATTTAAGATTAAAAGCTGTGCAACAAAGTATCCAGAATTAACACCAGGGAGATGGGGGCAATCGGTCTGAGGTTTTTGGCTGGATCTAGGCTCATCATCCAAAAAAGATATTTTTGTCTTGCTCCTTAATAATAGAGAAATTAATATACTGTAAGCACAAACAAAAGAAGGAACTAGCCCTGAAAAGCTGTCCATTCTTTCTACCTCTCCTTACATTTCACAGAGAAGCAGCATCTGAGATACTTTATTCCATCCCCAAAGGAATAAAAGCAACATGGGATTGTTTTTACTGATTTTTATCCTTTCCTGGATATAAATTGTTTTGTTGTTAAATTGCATTTTATACAGCTGTACAACTAGTAAACAAGAGACTATGAATGTGACAGTCTAAACAAATTAATTTTTTTAAATGCAGAAAATATTTCATTTCAAACTTGTGAAGATTTTCAGTGAAGAAGTGTTCTGAAATTTTCATGCTAAAAACGCAACATTTTTTCCAGCTGCCTTAATGTGAGACAGAGCTGTCCATTAGGTGGTCAGCAGTTCAAATCTGATTCTAATCACTGGCTACTTTAATAATGCCCAATTGCTGAGCCATGGTCTTTGTGACAAGACTAGATCTGACTGCAGCAAAGGACAAGAGTTTGAAAGTTTTCAAGCAGGACTATAATTCAGTACAACAACCATTTTTTTTTTTTTGTCTAATTAAAGATTTCTCAATGAATCATACAATTTTTGTGAAAGTTGAAGGATTTTATGATATTTACAGGATGCAGGTTTTCAGGTTCCAGAAGGAGCTCCTTGTTCAAAGCCAGAAGGAAAAGACTACAAATCTGAATTTTTCCATCTGAAAGCAATCCTTTTGACAAAATTTCCTTTAACTTCACATAAGACCATTTAAAAAAATGTTTATCTCCTTCCAGCATAGGTCAAAGACACACATTAGAAACCTGGGAAGCAGTCATGATACAGAACTGCATTTTGCAGGTTGCTTCCATTAGTGATCACAGCTGAAAAACCAAAAGCAGAGCAGAGGGAAGGAGGGAACTATACTCCTGGATCCCTGGAAGGTCTTCCCTGAGGCTCGCTTACAACAACATGGAAGGGCTCACCGTATTACTCTTAATGAAGACACACACCTCACACTGAAATCTCTGGGGAACTCAAAACATTCATAAATTGTTTTTAGTGATCACCTAATACAGAAGGGAAGATAAAGGCATTAGGGAAGGATAGTGACTACAGATGTACATGGTAGGCCATAGAAATAAAAAAACATAAGTAAGCTGGTGCAAATAACATCTACAAAAAGGAGCCGTTCTTAATGGTAATACCTATTTTCCCACATACTTCCAACAAGATCTGGGCAGCAGTCGGCACCCTCAGAAAGCATTACTGCCCTAAACAAGGAAGAAAAAAGAGCTTATGGAAAACCAGGAGTGTTCCTGTAACAGCAGTGAGCACTCCTGAGCATTGCACATTTGAAATCCCAAGTTTCAAGGCCCTTTGGTAGTGCATAACCTGCCAAGGCTGCTTCCCACAGCATGGCCTTCAAGTATGGGGACTTGAAGCTTTGCCAGCAAGTACATCACTCCCAAAACCACATGTGAGTGAGCAGGGACACCATGGATGGCAGACTGGGCAGGAGGGCATGCCATCAGGCTGATGGCTCAGCCCAAACAAGCAATCATGGATCCTGGAACACAATTATGAATTTTCTGTCCCCAGCCATTAAAACCCCCACTGTTCCCCAACCAGCACTGCACCAGGTCTGCTCTGCAGGGCTGAGCACACCTCCTCGCTCAGCCCCAGTGTCAGCACCACTTCCATCTCTGCTCCAGCACGATAAACCCCAGCATTTGGCCTCCTGGCGTAATTGCATCTCTCTCTCCTTTTTCCAGGTAAAGTACTAGTTCACTGTGCTATGGGAATCAGTCGATCTGCAACTCTTGTCCTTGCTTTCTTAATGATCTGTGAAGATATGTCCCTCGCTGATGCAATTCAGACTGTGCGCTCACACAGAGGGATCTGCCCCAACTCTGGCTTCCTCAGGCAGCTTCGGGAACTGGACCTCCAGTTAGGAAGGGGAAAAGGCAGAGGAGCAGAGGCCTGCTAGTGCCAAGGGGGCATGTCTCCTGGCACCAGACCGAGAGATGCTGCCCTCACTGAAGATGGTGCAAGGACACTTTTGGGACTGCTCTGTAGCTGCAAAGAAACTCCTTGGGAAACGGCTGAGCGTGAGCAAGCTGGTAGGAGTTCAGTATGTATTTTTTGGATAAGGCCACTAATTGGAAGGAAAATGAAATAAAGAAGGATTCAAACTGGCAGTTTTGCCCACCTGGGCCTGTTTATTTAACTACCTGTTGGGCAGGGGGTAGGGAGCAGTTGGGTTTTCATGCAGAATTAAAAGGCAGCACAGTCAACTTGAAAAAAGACTTTTTGCTTGCTTATAATTGCATTTATATGGCAAGAGGGAAAATGGCTAAACTAGTAAAAAGGAAAAGTAAGCATGAGGTTTTTAAGCAAATCTTTTAACATTTCACATCCAGCTGGCACAGGGCGGGACTTCAGGTTTTGCAAGCTGACACGCTCCTTTAGTCTGATGTGGAGACAGTAGTCAGGATCCAACTCAGACCTTGGGTTCTCTCTATTACAAGCCATGGGGGCTCTTGCTGGGACCTTCACAAGTCCTTTTAGCTTCAAATCTATGGCAAATACTCAGAACTTTGAAAGACTATGAAATCCTCAGGAGGCAATAATGGAGGTCCCAGCCAGATGCCGCACCCTGGGGCACAGCTATCGACAGCCTCACTGCTGGTCAGAGGGAAGGAAGGTGTCCCCTTGCACACATAAAGCAAGGGACATGCTCAGGGCACACTGCCCACTAGTGCACTGCAGGGCAGCAGCAGTGCCAGGCAGAAACATCCTCCTCTTGGCTTGCAACCCGATGCTCCAAATCACATTCCCCCAGTTTTCCTGTTTTAACAGAAAGCCAGAACCTAGTGTCATTGTGTCAGAGCAAAAATGAGCAAAACCTCTAACAAATCCAAAGCAGCAGCTCTGCATTTCGATTACTCTTTTACGCCCAATTGGCCACATTTAATCTTGTGAAGAACTCGAAGCAGATATTTGCTTCAGTGCAATTACAGCCGTATACAGAACATTGGCAAATGCAAACAATATAGAATTTCCACTTGACGGCAGATTAATTTGGTGTGATGTTTTCCCTTGAGAGGTCTTAAAGGCTTGCAGTTCTGAAAGTACCCTGCAGTTTGTATTTATAGCACTATGGATGTTGAATAGAGAGAAACATATACTTGTTCTGAACTGAAGTTTCTTTTGCCTCCATACATTAAAAAAAATTAACTGAGCATAGCACACTTCCACTGCATTTCTCATAATGCAATATGGAAATATTATTTCCCTGCAGAGCCTGTAGAGAAATTCAGGTGGTGTTTCCACTTTTATAAACATAGTAAGTAAAACACAAGCAATGCTACAGACTAATTTCCTCTCAGGGAACAGAGAGATGGCTCTTCCCTCCAGAAAGGGTCCAATCCCTTGGGACTGGAGTAAGCAGCCAGAAGGGAGGTCATAGCTAATGATGGAAAAAATCAGTGAAATTATAGCTTTCACAGACCTCTCACTGGCTGCCACAGCAAGGAGATTAGATTTCAGGGAGCATGGTGGCTGAATCACTCCTGGCACTTGGGTCTCCTCCACCTCAGTCTGTCTAGGGATCTTTTTTTATTGCAGACCATGCTGAAGCTGTTTTGTAAGTAGTCTTTTCAGTTACCTTACTAACCACTCCCTTCAAGTCTCTATAACTCAGCCTATGCCAAGCCAAATGACACTATATTAAAGTACCAGGGGTGTATGAAACATACCAGTCCAAAATCACCGTGCCTTGAGCCCTTCAGGACAGGTCATAATTCCCAGCATAATTTCCTATCCAGAAACATCTGTGGTTGCAGGGTAGAATTTAAAGTTAACAACTTCTCAGAGTGACTGAGCCTAAATTTACCCCAGCTGAGGCCTGTTGGCCATTGCAGGACTATTTCAGGCCAGGGACAGCCATAGATTCCCCTGCCATGCGTGACTTGCAGCTGGGAGCAGTAAGGTCAGCTGGAGCTGCAGCCCACTAGGAAAGCCAGGGCATTGGCAAAGCAGGGCTCCTGGCTGGATGTCACCATTACAGGTGTATAGTGGAAGCTTCCTCTTCAACCTGGAAAAAACCAACAAACAACTAAGAACAAGGGGTCAAAAACACTGACCCAAAGACAACAAAGTAGCTATCCAATCCCAGGACAAAAAAATTCCTTTTCTAGAAGAGCCTGAGCTGGTTCCAGTGCTTTGCATTACTGTGAAGTTCAGAAAGTGGGAGGCATCTCCTTGCAGTTTCTCTGCCCTCCAGCAGATGACAATACCTGAGCCCACAATTACCTTCCCTCTGTGCAAGGGCTGCAGCATCATGGAGGTGGCCTGCCAGGGTACAGGTGCAGGCTCAGTAGATGATGACAGTTAAGCAATCCTGATCTCTGGCTCCCACAGGTTGCACACTGAGGTGTTTTATTGTCCCTGTGCTTAGTTAAGCAAAAGTCTCTTAAAATTACAGTTGTAATCAAGACAAAGAAAATGAAAATATTGGGAGTGGTTCCAGGTATATCTTGTGGTACAATTTCAAGACCCAGAGTTGCTGACCCTTTGCAAGCTACTGGCTCGGCCCAAGAAAAAATGAATAGCTTATTTCCACCACAGCCATCTTTGCTTAAAAAAAGGCATTTGGTCCTGGCATGCAGCTGTTAATTTTGCTGCTGCTGAGCCAGACGGAAGAAGCCCCAGTCACACTCCTGCAGGTGTAGTGCCTCTGCAGTGCTGGCTGTAATCGCACTTGCCCAGTGCTCTAGCTAAAGATTACCTGCCAAAAGCAGTGTCAGTTGGGACTGCAGGCAGGGTGGAAGGGATCAGAATGGCAGATTCAGACGTATTAATGGACAGAGCGGTGTTGATGCTACCATCTTTTCCATGCCTACTTCTTACCGAGTGCAGATCAAATGCTGAGGTTTATTTACAAACACCTATCCATTCTGCATGCTTATGAGGAGTAACGTCCAACACGGTGGTGGAGCTCGTGCACTTCCCACACAGTGAGCCTGCGAGGGAGGATGGGCGCCTAAGCCCCTTTTCACAGACAAGGCCCCTGGAGTTTGCCCCAGCTGCAGCAGGATGTTTGGAGAAAAGCACAAGAAGATTGATCTCCAGCCACCAGAATTGGCACAAAAGCATGAGAATAGTTTTCTCACATAAGATATCTTGCCTTCACCAGCTTTTCCTTCCAGACTTTCAGCAATGATAAACACAGAGACTATTACTGCGGGCACGTCTGCACTGCATTATTTATCCTTTGGATTTGCACTAGGGGTTTTATTTGTAAAAGGAAAGTGGGACCATAAATCTGCTCTACAAGGAGCCAAGGGAAGATAGGATAGAAATTTTCAACAAGTTGCACAGAAGGAGATGATGCCAAGAACAGGTTTCCCATGGAAAGAAATGCCAGCCAGGATATTGCCCAGGTACACGCCATGTGTAGTGACAACAGCTAAGAGTGTCAGTCTTTTTCTTGCAGGTGCATTAATTCATTCCTCTTTGCACAGGTAGCTTTGGGGTTGCTGCAGCAAGGATTGCCCTCCAATGGAACCTTCTTAATTCATAGCTTTTGCCTTTTTGGTCTTATTAAAAAAAAAAAAAAAATCTGAACTGGGACCAAAATAGACCACAAAGCTGAACAACTAAGTGTGGCCAAGACTAACTAGTCAGGGTTGAGTACCAACCTACGTGACAAGCCTAAGCTGACCACATTCCGGAGTAACCATTTTGTTCATGGCCTTCAGTGTACACATGACTGCTTTTCGGGTACAAGGCCCTGAGTAACACACGGCGTCTGTTTGGCAAGGATGGCATTGAGCAGTCTCCCGGGCAGATCCCCTGGTTCTGCATTACACTGGACTGTTCCACTTTAGCCAGTGGCTCCCACTTCTGCTTTACTTTAGCACTGCCCACCAAGACCAGGTGACTTTCTTCTGCAGCACCCTGATGTCTAGATCAGATCTGCCCAGCTCCTGCCAGCACCTCCAGAATTGCAAAGCACTGTCAAGTCCACTTGCCAGATGTTATCCTCTTCCCATTATTTTTTGCCTGTATTTTCCTGATAACAAGGCTGAGCTATGTGTTATTGTGGAGAAGGGCTTCAAAATAGCTTGTGCTTTGCAAATTTACTTCATAGTTTAAGGTTCAAAGAGTATATGCAGCTCCTGAAGCCAAGTCAAACAGGAATCTAGAGCCTGTGAGGCTTTCAACAGTTAAGTTTTCTTTAGGCTATAATTACTTTGCTTAGAAACTAGACCCTTGATCTGTTGCAGGAGGCTGCAGTCAAACAATTTGCTCTTTACAACACACTATTTGTGGTACAAGTATCATTGAGTTATACTGCTCCCCCTCACTGCTGCCTCCTGGAACCTCGTCTGTTTATGTACCGAAAGCACTCTCAGGAAGCACTCCTAAAAATACCCAGTGATGTTAGCTGAGGATCTGGCTTTGTCTCTGCTCCTCCTGCTTCTGCATCCATAACATCCTTCCATCACCTTCATGTTCAACTACCCCAGCTGTTCAACTTGATCACTAAATTACAGTAGAGTCCACATCATCTTTATGAAATTCTTGAGTACATCTATATGGCTCTGCCCACTTTTTAAACAATAAGAAGGTGCCAAGTCAGGGCAAAAATACCACTTGCCAAGGGATAGGGTCTTCCGTTTGCTGCACTCTGATCCTGCTTGTTGCAAATCATCTTCATGACCACAAAGATCTTCTAGCACATTCAGTAGGCACCCAGCACAGACTGAGATTCATAGCAGGACAAAGGATCTTTGATCATTCAGTCTGTCCACATATCACCAATTGACTTGAAAGTTTCTCTTCTGTAGGTCTTCAGTAGACAGACCCCAAAAATAAAAGCATAGCAACTGTGCTGTCATAACAGATAAGCTCTACCTTTGCGGTTATTCCTAGTGTAAAACTCTTCTGAAAGGAAGGTGCTGCTCTACAAACCCCTTTTTA